CTATAGGGGGGATTGACCTAAAATAAGGGTATCTTGGGCACCCTAAGCCTTATGAGAAGGACCCTATGATTATCACATCCTGAACCCTGAAGTTGGAGAAGGGGTTACCAAAAGACCCAGATTACATCAAACGTATGGCGATGATGGAAACCCGAAACCCTAAACCCCTACACCCCAAACCTCTAAACCCTACACCCTAAGCCCCTAAACCGCTGAACCCTAAGCCCCTAAACCGTAAGCCCTGAACCCCTAAACCTAAGCCCTACCCCCCCAAATCCAACGTTCTAAGCTTCCCGCAGTCCAGGTTCCTTCGCAACGCATGGCTTAGTGTGTAGGGGCGGGGGTGGGGGAGAATATGAGCTATAGTCTAAACTCCTTAAAGGTGCTTGAGTAGGGACTATATAGGGTTCCTATCACAGGGCTGATTAAGGGGGATACTAGGAGTTTAGACTACAGCTCACATGGCTTTTGCAGATAGGTGCGGAGTTTGCTGTGACAAAGTTATTATTCAGTAGAGCAGGAAGTGTTGATTCTTAGGCGGAAGAGGTTTATTGAGGGATATTTCGGGTTCGTTCACCAGAGCTGCCTAGAAGGAGACACCCTAAACCCTAAACCCCTAAACTCGAAACCCCTAAGCCCTAACCCTAAACCCCTAAGCCAAACTTCTGTAGCGTACACCAGCAGACCCCGAGCTAAAAAAAATAGTTAGAATGCTTATGTGTTCCTGCATTTTTTTTTGGGGGGGGGGTTCTTTCTGAAAATATGGAGCCCTTGTAAAGGGATTCTTTCTAGGCGTTGCATAGGGGCATATAAGGATATCTTAGTTTTAGGATTACCCCAAATCAGGGAGACCATTTGGGTGTAACACATGAGAAGTCGTCTTTGCTGTTGGAATTCATCCTTCAGCGTCTACCGGGGAAGTGGGGAATTTTTCGTCAAGTGGTCTGCTAATTGTCCGTTATAATGGTTGGGTCCTGTTGGTATTGCTTCTGCAGGTGCTGTTTCTTCTCTGACACTGTGGTCGCGGGTTTGCATTGGTTTGCGGTTTTTAGCTGGCTTCGAATAAGCAACTACAAAGATCGGGGAGACCTCTTCGCCAATGCACTCTCGCTAGTAAGAATCCTCCCCCCTATGCCCCTAAGCACACACTTCTCTATGCAGTATCATTACATAAACTACCTGTAGGGGAGTATCGAATATTAGGTAGGTGGGTGGTTCTTGTAAGGAAAGGGGACTGGTTCAAGGAAACAAGCATGCAGGTTGTCAAAATGTGTCCCTTCCGCCCTCCGGGTACCCTAAGTATCAATTTAGTGGGGACTCTGAACCCGAAGCCAACCTCCCCCGTGAGGTGTCGGCTTGGAGTATAATCCCCTCCTGCTAACCCTATGCAGTCCTCACCCAATCGAAGTTTATATACATATATAGATATACCTGCGTATATCAAGTATATGCCCCTTTTGTAGTTGCGTTCTTATACGAAATATTTGATATTGGGTAGTGGGGGTGTGTTTAGTGTCGTGGAATATGTTGCTGGAGTATACCGTAGCTCTCCCAAGTCCCGTAAAGCCGAAAGTGAAACACTCATGGTTCACGTGCCGGTCACTGTCAAGGGCTTTCAAATATAACCCGAACCCTTAACCAATACAACCCCACGCGGCCCCACACGACTCCACATGACCCGCACACATCACCTACTTGGAGGGTCAGGGGACTTAACAAGTGGGTTAAAAATGGGTTTACCTGTGGGTTACCATGTGGCTCATATCATGGCGGTTGTAAAGCGACTTACTAAACATTCCCGACCCCTCTTAGGTAGAGCTTAGACCGGCTCCTGTCGTGGGCCGTCTTGAACCACTCCAGGTGCAGTGCGGTGCAGGCATCCGGCCGATCCTCCCTCGCCTCCAGGGTGTGCAGGGTTTAGGGTTTAACGTGTTTGGGGTTTAGTGTTAAAGAGTTTAGGGTCGATGGTTTAGGCTTTCATGTGAACTGCAGTCAATATTTCGATTCATTGCAACATCAGATGCAAAATAAATTGGAACATGAAATGGAAGCTGAAGTTTTATAGGGGATTAAAGGGATGAACGTTGTCCTTACAATTAATGGACACGGGTTCCTAATTAGGGAATCTATTTCTGAGTTTACGTACTTACCGTAGAGACCCCTATGTCCACCCGTAGTGGTCCCTTGGTAACCCGTATAGTGACAGTAGCTCAAGTCGAGCATCCAATGGAGAAGCCAATGGAGAAGAACATTGAAGAAACACTGATAACCACCCCTATATTACAGGGGACATAGGTGTCGGGCTTGCCAAAACCCTCTCATTGGTCTTTGGATCACACAACTTACCACACGGCTGCAAACCTACATCTGCAATGTTTTGAGAGCATCTCAAGTAGGGTCGTAGGGTCGGAGGGCCTAGTAGCCGGTCAGTTCACATAGCAGCCTCAACCATACCCTATGCCACCTCAAACCGTCAACCCTCTAAACTTCCCACACCTTCTACTCATATCTTAAGCGCTTTACGCTGATGAACCTCATATTCTAGATTCTAAGCCTCAACTCTGCACCCTGCACCCTAAACCCTTTGAACCTCAAAGCCGTAGCCGAACCTTGCACCCCCAACCATCCTACCCCGCACTTGGGGGACTTGGTGAAGACTCTTCATCACCCCTATAGGCCATATAGTAACCCCACATATTCCCATGGTCAGCAAATCCACCAACTCCCCTGGCCCTCAAGAAAACCCTCAACCCTGAGAGAGTCATATGTGATAGCGATAGTCATAGCCCTACCCTAAACCGTAAACCCTAAAGGGTTGCAGTTGCCGAGATGCCTTAAATTCATTAAAGACATAACGCTGCAACTGGCACAGGCAGAATAGCCTGCTGGGGCGCGTGGTGGGTCAAGGCATGTTAATTAGCTCTACGGTGGGTACAGCTAAGGTCACACAGGTTAGTTGATATAAACATTACATCACAGAATGCTCGGGGCTAATTGGGCCGGGCTTGGTTGAGGGCTTAGTATTCGGATAGCTGTAGCAAAATCATATTTCACTGCAATGCCTTTTAAGGTCCTTGCAGTAGAACAAGAAGCAAATATGATTTGACCAATGATTCGGTTTGGTGTTTTCTCTTGGCTTCTTTTGTGGATTACAGGGCACTCGAGAAATGCTAGGCTTTCCATACATGTCTTGGAAGGACCCTTAGTCTGCTGCTGCTGCTGCTACTACTACTACTACTACTACTACTACTACTACTGCCACCAGATTAGGGAACTAGTCATTGGTCAGTTGTTCTGTAGGGGAAATTTGGAGATTTAATTAGCACAGAAGCGTAGGCTCTATCAAGCCTTGCTGAAAAATACAGTCTAACTGCAGCTTGGCGTGTGGGGAACTTAGTAAGTGTACTTCTAATGCCCAAACGTCATATAGGAACCCCAGTTACCCTGATTAATAACTCACTTACTTTGTCCCCCTGACCCTCTAAACTCGAAACCCTAAACAGTAGTTTCCAGTTTCTTTTCCATCATCCCTATATAACCCCAATATACCCTATAATCCCCTATATAACCAATTATAGTAGTTTCCATTTGATTTTCCATTATCCCAATATAACCCCTATATAACCCCTATATATGTAGTAGTTTTATGGGACCCTCCAAGAAGAGATCCCTCCAGGCGAAACACCTTGGTCAGCAGCTGCTTCAGGGCAGCCGTAGCCACACCAGAAGCCTGAAAAAAAAAAACAGGTTAAAGGCTCAGAAGATCCGGAGGGGGACTGGCTAAGTATACTTACAAGCCCTAGAAGCCACATAATAAACCCCAACTCTCCCCATTAAGAATCCCAATTCTCCCCATTATTAAAGATACTTACTAAGTCCCGCTAACCTTCCGATTAGGTTCAGGTTTGGAGGTTAGGGTTCGAGGATTTGGGCTTTGAAGTTTAGGGACCTCAGACCGTGGGCGAGAAACTTTGGAAGCCAGGTCTGCCTGCCCGACAGCTGGTACTATGCTGTGACTCAGAAGTTTAAACTGATGTCCCTAAACCCTAAATCACCACTAGAAAGCGGTTGTTGAAAAACGCGTGGATGCATTATATTACATCACAGCCTACACTAGCACATCCAGAAGGTCCTGCCAATTTGGACACCGTTGCAGGCCCTGAAGATCGGGGGAAGAAGGATAGAGGCAACCTAAACTACTAACCTGGGGCAGGGCGGGTGTATTGGGCCGAGGGTCGAGATTTAGGCACCTAAGCCCTAAAACCTCAACCCCGGGTAGCAGTGGTGCCTGATAGCCAGGATGATCCCGGGAACAGATCGGCCTCACAGTGCCCGAGACAGGAATCTGAAGGTTGGTTTAGGTTTTTGTATGTTTAGGGTTTAGAGAATAATGGGGAACGAAATGGACAAGTAAATGGAACATGAAATGCAAACTGGAATAACCCATGGGTAGAAGCTACATAGGAGCTCCAAACCTGTGGATGCAAAACTCTTCAACCTATCAGGGCCCTGAAATGACTACTTGAGAGCTGGGGAGGCTCTGGCTTCATCCAGGAAACTGATAAAGGGGTTATTATAATAGGGGATTTATGGCTTTATATAGGAGATATATGGGGGATAGGGGGATATATCGGGTCATATAGGCTTTTTTTCAGCTTGCAGTTCTTGGTGATGGCAAAGCCGAATTCCTTTTTGGGATAGTCCTTGGGCCTTGCATGTCTTTGCGCACCGGGGGCTTCTAAACACCACCTCTAGAATTGCCTAAAGCCGCATCTACATTCCCCCAAACTAAGATGGGACTTTAAGTTACACCTAGAGAGAATTAACAGCATCCTTGTGAAGGATGTTCGTTCTGCCCGGTGCCTCGACCCGGATTTGCGGCCCGGAATTGCAGTAGTGGAATAGCGGAGAATTAAATGGAAATGAAATCGACGAACAAAAACGATACAGTATTGTTTGGGGTTTGGGGTTTAGAGATAAATAGAGAATCAAACACAAAGGAACACGACAATGAAATGAAGACTGGGGTCGCGTTGGCGGCGTCAGGAAGTGTAGTGCAACCTCATAATGATTCCTAAACCCTATATTGTAGTAGTTTCCATTTTATTTTACCATTATCCCAGTATAAGAATTCTGAGATGCTGAATCGGAGGAAAAGATTTGACTGGCGCATCGGTGAAATCTCGAACCATCTGTATGAGCTGTAGTCCAAACTCCTTAAAGGGGGTTATATAGGGGATTATATATGGGGCTACTATGGGGCTATTACAGGGGATACTAGGAGTTTAAGCTATAGCTCATACGTCCCCGGACAAACAAGAAATCTGCCTGAAAAGGGGTCTTACAAAGAATACTGTAGTTGGGAGAGAGTATACAACCCTAAACCCCTAAAGCCTAGATACATCCCCAACGAACTGAAGTAGATCACGCCCCCAAGCTGTGACATCAACTGCTTCCATCCTGTTGCTTGGGTTGCTGTAGTAACGCTCGTGGTCATTGTTGGAAATTCCTTTTGCAACTGCCGTTCTACTAAAAACTAGACACAAATATGACTCTGTACATTTTGAAGATTGTCCAACAAGGAACCAGCTCTAACCCCGGAAAATGTAGGTAAATGGGTAACAAGTATGCATACACCACAACTGGTGCCTCTGCTAACCCCTCCAGCCGCCTTTACTCACCAAGGGAATTCTGGTACCCAGAGTTAATGAGCTATAGTCTAAGCTCCTAGTATCTCCCTTGATAACCCCTAGAGTAATTCCCTATATAATCCCCCTTTAAGGAGTTTGGACTATAGCTCATATGAGTTTATGGGGTTCTGGAAGGGCTCGAACGCGGTCCCCGCCTGTAGCTGGGTTCTCGATCCTCCTCGCAGATCAACACCTCAAGGAGATCACAGACATGTGCTACCGTAAGGGTCCAACACAATCACGACAACGATCATGTTCTTTGAGCCCCTTATGGTAGAAGTGGTTAGATAGGTTTTGGGAGTATGTAAGAGCTTCGTTTAGGCTTTGGCCAAATATCCTCTTAGCTTTTTCAAATCAAGATGGTTTGCGCCTTCAGGTTCTGAGGCGGAACCATGTACATGTTGTCCATGTCTAGCTTCTGCGAAGCAACTAGGCCTACCTCATTTACGTATACATCAATTATATGTCTATAGATATAGTAATTATATTATTCATGTGAGTATGACCTACAGACAGTCCGTTCAAATCCCTAGATAAACCTTAAACCCCACACCCCAACAAGCCCAAACCCTAACCTTGTGAACCCATTTTCTTAAGGCTTCATCCCTAAACTCTCAACCCCACACCCTCAATCCAGCAACCACTCGCCCTTGATCTTAATACCTCCGCCATAAACCCCACCCCTTCAGACTGACCTTGAACGTGGTCCCCGAAGCCCTAAACCCAAAACCGTAACTAAAAACCCTAAACCCTAAACCCTAAATTCCTGGCAAACATACCACCAACTGCTTGATACCTTTATGCTACAGGCTCCCACCAAAGGATTCGGAGTTTTTGGCAACCTCCTTATTGGTGTGGTCAGGGCTTCAGGGTTTAGTCACTTCCCTGGCCCACAATAGGAAATAAGAGATATGATTTAGGGTTTAGGGTTTAGGGTTGGGCCCCCACCCACTAATAGTGGTATACTAGGAATATATATGGACATTAATATAATTACCAGTACCTCTTGCAGTCACTATTAGTGGGTGGGGGCCCAACTTAAGATACAGTAGATGAATGTGAGTGTCCTTCCCTTAATCAGAATGTGCTAGCTGTAGTACTTCCTTTGTTTTATGCGACAAGATGCTTTTCAAAAACAACTTGAGCCATTGTCTAAACTCCTAGTATCCCCCTTAGTAACCACTATAGTAGTACCCTATATAATCCCCTATATAACCCCTTTAAGGAGTTTTGACTATAGCTCACTAAAGGGCATGCAGGTGAGGATGGATGACCCAACTCATCGGTCAAGGAGCCTCCAGGTTCGCTGGGTTCCGATCGTGGAAGGGAAACTGCCCAAGAATTGCCAGGTACATGACTACCTGGGGATCGGTGTGGGGGTGTTGGGGTTCGGGGAGGTTTTCGGGATTATAATCCGCTCAAGTAGATAGAATATGGGGTATATGGGGACCTTATTATAACATACTCAAAGCCATATTCTATCTACTTTAAGGGGGTCTATAGGTTTTAGGCCTTAGGTTTGAAGGTTTCAGGTGGTTGTGTTTGCCAATTCTTGGCAGCTTTTGGAACCCAAGGATAAGCATACGGTGGCCATTGTTGCTGAAAGGAGCCATGGAACAAAGCAGGCCTCCCGCCATAAAGGGGTTATTGATATAGGGGATATATGGTGTTATATAGGAGATATGTGGGGGATAGGGGGGATATATCGGGTTATATAGGGGAAATATACGCTTGCGGTGCTCGTGGCAAAATGTGTGGGCTTGCTGGCGCTTATGGTAGCTTGCGAAAGCCAGGTTTTTGCTTTCAACCTCTTCGATCCTGCCACTCGCCTTCTGGCTTCCTTGGCAGGAACTTTGATCGAAAATCAAAGGTTGAAGGTCTAGGACTTGTTGTGGTGGTTTAGGGTTCAGGGGTGAGCGCGCAGGCTACTTGGAGGACGAGGGCCATTGTAACATGCTGACTAGCCGTAAAGGTAGCGCAGCTTCAACCAAGAACCCCTTGCTCCCCCTGTTTTCTCAAAGCATCTACAATGTGTTTTTCGTGCCGCCAGTCACCTTTCGCTTTAGGGCGTAGGGCACAACTGCCCAATACATTTGGGGTTACCCACAATTAAGGGTACTTTTTTGGGAGTCCCCATAATAAGGATTGTGATGCATTGTGGTCTGTATTGGTTTGTTGTTTTCCCGCCCGCCGCTGAGCTCGTGACGCCAGCGGCCCAGACATCCACGCTTGGAGAGTAGTCATGGAACCACACCTCCGTTTGCCCAGAGCGTCCAATACACTGTGTCCTACATGCTAGTAGGATCCTAACGTCATTCAAGGTATCTTCCGGGATAAAAGTGCTCCATCCCATAGCCCCCTAGATAAACCCAGCTTCCGTTCCATCTTCCCTTGTCTTTTTCACTTGATTTTGCTTGCGTGGTAAGATATACCCCTTGTTAACTGTGTATAAGCATATCCCCCAAACCTCATATATCTGCCTAGAAACTTTATAAGCCGCAGAATAATCTGGGCTCCATGGGTCCGCGAGTAGACCAGCAGCAGGAAACGTAATGCTGATGGTAAAATGGCTATAACAATAGCAGTCTAGGATGAACTTGTCCCGCGACTGAGATATGTTCATGCTTGTCAAATTGCCATCTAGACCCAGTTCGCCACTTCCCAATATTAAAAAGGTGGATACTAAAAATCCTGCATGACCCTAACTACCCTAAACCTTGGGAATAATGGTAGTATAGTATACTACGGTCATGCAGGATTTCTAGTATCAACAGCAAGACATCCCAGCTCTCACGGAAGCTGTTGTCTCACACAGCCACCTGATTCAAATGCCTCGCATAGCTGGATGTGAGCACAGCAGGGGCAGCTTGATAGAAATGGAAACGTTAACTGGGTCACAGCAGTTTGTATCTTGCAAGCTAAACCGCCTAAACCCTAAACCCTGAATAGTAATTTTCATTTGCTGTTTCACTCCCTTATATACCCCTATTTCATAGCCCTTCTAGCCTTTATATCCCTCGTTTAGCCTCTATAACCCCCTAAACCCTAAACCTTTCAGGGAACCCAGAGCAGGAGCCTCAGGCGCGCAGTAGTAGGCCGTGCCACATACCAGGTGCTCGAGCGGAGGCTGGCCCAAGTATGGTTGGGTTATGGATGAGGGTTTAGGGGTTTAGGGTTTAGGGGTTGAGAAGGGAGGGCTTGTGGATCACGGCTTAGGGTTTTACTTCAGTTGCGCTGAGGGTATGGGGAAATGGTTTAGGGTTAGGATGCGGGGGTTGTGTAGGGATAAGGGCTGAGAGTTTAGAGATGCGGGATTTCGATCTAGGGTTTCGGTTTGGGAAGGTTATAGAGATTAGGAATCGGGATGTATGGGCATCTTGTTATAACTTCGGGTCTAGGGATTTCGAGACCTTTGCTCCTAGAAAACGTAAACCCCAAACTAAACCCTATGTACCCCCTATATACGCCCTATATATCCCTCTTAAAGGGGGCCCTATTGATGCCCAGACAAGGCTGCTATGATCCCTGATCAGCAGACGGTTGAATTCACAGGAGTACTGTTGATGCTACAAATGCTTCATTACCTTGGTATACTCAATAGTCCCCCTTAAGTAGATAGAATATGGGGTACATGAGGATCTTATTGCAGTATACCCAGAGCATGTTCGATCTACGTAAGGGGGACTATAGTCCCATAATTGCCAAACTATAAGGGGCGGACAGACTGTTGATAGCCAAGCTCCTCCGTTGCCATATTTTCGTATCAGAAACTCCCATAGGAGTTAGAGGTAGATCGAGGAACGCAGGATGTTTGGTATCACGCAGGATGCTTTGTGATGGGTTTAATAAGACTTATGCAGGCCCAGTACCTCAGGAAACAATACAGTGGATACTACAATTCCAGCATGTGGGCTCATAGAAAATGGTACAACTCCAGTCAGTGTAGGGCCTGGGCACATTCCGCAGATACTTCCATATAGCTTAATTAATGTGATGCAAGTATAGTTGACCATATCGTATAGTGGGATTAAACCCTAAAATTGCGCATGCTAACTTTTCTATTCTGCCGTGTGTCTAGCTGAAGTTTTTTTGACCTCGTGACAGATTTTGAAGCAGCAATATATGACTAGAGAATAAGAAATTGCAGAAGCATGCTCCAAAATACCCTAACCCACAGTTCCCGCCTCCTGCTGACACATGCGGAACCTGGCAGATTCAGGTCTGTGGCAAGAGCATCGTCCAACATCATTGGGGTACTAATCCCACTGAACCCTACATAGTTGCTATTAAACGCTTGGAGACAGTTACCGTGATATCGGGTTTAGGGCTTCGGGTTTAGAGTATGCGCAAGCGCCACCGACTGCAGCCCGTGAACGCCTGAAAACTCATTCCTCGAACACTCCATGAACTCAAAACCAAGTGGGCCAAGAACCTTCCATGAAAGGCTACCCAGACCTCCCAAGTACTCATAATAATGGACCTATGCCAATTTGGGGCGTCCCTTGTTTACAAGGCTGTCACTTGAAAACATGAAAATGGCACCTACACGTTTCAGACCAACACTCACCAACACACTGAGAGGGAATAACGCCGTCACCGGAGGGAGCGTAACCAGCCCCTCATCTAGGAGAATGCCTGTTCAGGGTAGATTCCTCAGCGCTACGAAGCCGGCCAGCGATGATACAGTCCATCAGAGCACTCCCAAACTGCCGGCACCCCAAGTCCCAAAGCCAACCCACAATCATCCCCTGGTCTTTCGCGGAGCCCCGGTGCATATCTAGTTTCCATAGATAGGGGGACCCCAACACAAAGAGTCCCACATCTAATCATCTTACTATGCCAACCCCCAAACGGGTACCCCTACTTAGAGGGTCAGGGGGATGTAGTAAGTAGGTCAATACACCTAAAAACCCATATAGTAACCCCAGTGGTCCTAATTATAAACCTACCTAGACCCTCCTCCTACCCTCTATTAGGGCCTAAGTAGTTACTATTAGGGACCATATATCCCCAATTAAGGGTACAAGGAAGGTCCTGGTACTTACTAAGTCCCCATGACCCTCCAAGTAGTTTCTGGAACCCTCCCCACCGCAGTAGCTGCCACCAGGGCACATGAAGCTGGAGGAGTGCTCCATGCGCAGCGCAAGACCGAAGTCGATGAGCTGAGCACGCTTTTGGGGTGTGCAAGTGGTGAAAGACTTCACCCAAAGACTCCTACTGTTGCTACTAAAAAACCTGCATGACTTTAGTATACTATAGTACCATTATTCCCAAGGTTTAGGGTATTTAGGGTCATGCAGGATTTTTAGTATCCACCGTATGTTGTAGTTCCTTTGGGAAATACGTGCTGCAAACTCGTTCGAAAAACGTGAAAGGAACAAAGCAGCTGTGAAGGTGCCTGTGGGTAGGGCACCCAGGGCTTAAGATACGTCAGCTACTTACTTCATCAGGGCTTACACTGCGTTGTTCAAGCCAGGGGCTCATCTGGGTTGCTGTTAAGGAACTTACATTAAGTTACTATATTGAGGAAACCCTATTATTTACTATATATACCCAATATGGTAACTTAATTTAAGTTCCTGAACAGGAACCCAGTCATTTATGGTGTGGATCGTTTGGGGCTTCAAGGTTTGAGGCTTGGGCTATTCTGGGAGTTGTGGAACTTAGACTTCGGGGCTAAGCATGGCTGTTCAGCTCTGTAGGCTAGACTCGGCTAGACATCCTAAAGAACAAGCTTACATGAACCCCATCCCTCACGACCGGAACTCACTACAAACAGCTGCGCCATCTTAACACCCGCTTGTCCCAGCGAACTCCACTCGCAGCAGCTTAGCCCGGAAGGCCTAATCGCAGTCCACAATCCAGAGCCCCGCCAAAGCCAAAGTCGAAAACGTCCAACTCCACACAGCTCTACACTCCAGAGTACTGTTTTCCAAAACCCAACCAACGCAATGGTGTTAGTAGCAATGGATACGAAGCCTGTCTTTCAAAACACAACAAGATGTTCGCCATGCCCCCTAAACTGAACCCCCAAACTAATTTGCGGTTACTAGGGAATAAGGGAGCATTTTACATAGGGTCTACATTCCTAGATTCCCTACTAACCACCCGACCACCCAGAAGAAATTCTCTTCCAACCTGCCCCGAGCTGCCTTGATATGCCACCGCCTCGTCTTGGCAGGATCCTCCACGAGCAGGATATTCTCCGCCTGCGTCTTTGCGAGTAGGAAGTTGCCCTCCGCCAACGTCTCATGGAAAATCAGAAGACCATGGGTATCCGGGAGATGTGGCATAGAAGAGAACTTTGGGTGGTACGGCCTCCTTTATGAACCTGCGCAGCGGGCCGGCCCCAAGAGATGCTACGAAGGAGATCCTAACCGTAACCGTACACCCTGAATCCGAAACCACAACAACAAAATGGAACAGCGTTGTCGGCGAAAGGAGTCTCAGGTCTAAAAGGATCTCAGTCCCGTGGCCATCTCTCAATAATGGGGGCACTTAAGATGGGGTATGCGAATGCTAGGGACTCTGGGGACACAGGGGTCATGAGGGGATCATGGGGCTCCCTCTCCCGGTTTTTCAGGGACTCCCTTGAGAAATTCAATGGATGCGCAAATGTCTCACCAAAGTATGATTAGTTAGGTGGGCATCTTTACCACGAGGATTTGTTTATTGCAGCGCACTAAATCTCAAAATGTCCATGCGGAAGTCTTGTGGCGCACAGAAGGAATGCATGCCGGCGCTCTTCGGATGTGACTCGAGGCTGCGCATTCTTGCGAAAGCTTGGGCTGCGAATGGCTGCAAGCCAATACGCTGGAGCAGCGACCCAGTGCGATTAGCGCTTGAACATCACGATCTTCATTGTTTGTGCCTCCTTACCGTAACTTGTCTCCTTCAAAATTGCCAGATCGCTCTGACTCCTCTACATGCCATCGGCTACTGACAAATGGCCATCCTTCATGCTGTACCCCATGCCCAATGTGCAAAGTATCATCCTCTTAGTTCCTACTATCCCGAAAACAAGACCTGAGGACTCACCGATATACCTGCAATGTAGTACCCTGGGGATCCAAATAGCCCAAAGTAGGTAACATTTACAGACTTTAGGGCCCAATGTAGGTATTATTTGTATACTCGGATCCCTAGGGGTAGCATTGCAGGGAACTTGAAAAGTTCATGCTTCAGTCGCTGCGGCTCCACCGTATGGTCCCTATTGTGCGCCCACTGTATGGCTCCTAGTGTATAGATCACAACAGAGATCCAGAACCTAATGCCCCTCAATCCCAAGACCTAAACCCCAAGCCCACCAATCTACTTCCCCTAAACAGAGTGCGACCCCTATGAAGGGATTGCGAAGGAGAGGGGAAGCCCCCACAGTACCAAAACCCCCAACTCCACCTTGACGTCGCGGTGGATGATACGACGCAGGTGCAGGTGCTGCAGTGCCTGGTCAATCGAAAGTTGATTCCGGTTTCACCTTGTAGCGAAATATGGGGGTTTCCCAAAATTAGGGGTGCCTTTTTTGGGTGGTCCCTATAGTAAGAATATATACCATTTTGGGGTCTATATTGGGGTCCCCTTATTTTTGCAAAACTACCATATCTCTAGACCAAGCAGGAGTGGTTCTGCACAGCTGCCATCCGCATCCCAGCTTCGGTACAAACGTTTGGAAAAGATTTGATTGTCACGTCGGCGCAATGTCCGGGTTGAGGGCTTAAAAGGCTTAGGTTGAAGAGTGTAACATCAAGGCGGTGTGAAAACTGCGCTCATAAGGACGACGAATGCGATAACTGTTAGTTCTTATTCTATTATGGGGATGCCTGCACTCACAGCCAACAACTGAAAAATGTCTACCCATTAACCTCCAAGTATGCCCCTGTCCCTAACAATAAAGCTGCCTCACCCTTAAACTGACTGCTCCTTGTTCAGTACTGTCATGCAGTATGTAGCAGAATACTGGTTTTGGGCGATTGTTGACTGGCTTCGTTACAGGAGGGAAGCGATAATGTAAGGATCTCGAGATCCTAACCCTGAACAGCGCCCGATGAAAAACAAGAGAAACAACAGGTTGGGTGTGGATGGATCAATCTGAGATCGTGAGGAACAAGCTTATATCGAAACAACATGGGAATTACATAGGGCCATGTGAGCTATGGTCTAAACTCCTAGTGTCCCCCTTGATAACCCCTATAATACTCCCCAATA